TTACTCCTCTCTTGTATTTCATGTTAAAACTAAATGTTACACTTTTTTTTTTCACATTTATTTTTCATAATACAGAAAATAATAATAGATGGTTCAGAGTCTATAAAGTGCAAAGGTTTTCCCAAAGAATCATATTTCACATGGGATTTGGATGAATTAATTGACAACAAGCGGCTGAAAAAACGAATCAAGTTCAATTGGTCAGATATTGAATATATGAAGGTTGATATCACGTTCGATAAAAACGACTTAGGATATCTTGCTTTCAAGGTATGTCAATTATTCTAAAACAAATTGTAGATCTACGCTTAACTATATATACGGTAGTTACTTATATGGATGTTTTTCATACTTATATGACTTTTTTTTTAATAGCTGAAGAACAAACCGAAACTTTTCGTCGAAAATGATTCACCGGCACATGACTCACATCATCGTAGACATACAGTTTGGAAGAAGGCACCTTACGATTTCACAGACAACCAAGCTTCCTCATCAGGGTATACAAAATATATGTTCAACTTTTGTACATAAATTTATGTTAACTTTACAAACTAACTTGATCGATCTTGTTTAATTATTTTCTAGCAGTATGCTTGTTTTAAAATTCAAACCAGAGATTTTGGAGAAGTATTATCACTATGTAATGAAAGCTAATCCCGATCCAAACTACTACCGTCCTTTGTTCTCCTTCCAAGATGTTAGCGCGAGACTTCGAGACATAGTTAACTACCTTCGTTGTGATGATACTCAAGTGCAAACTCCATGTGAAGGTACAACATGTACATATCTTATCTCGTCTTTTTTTTTTTTGTTAGAAATTTACAAACAAAAAAAATACTTGTTTTGTGATTGCTTTTGACGTTTCCTAATTATATTAATCATCTCTTTTTTTTTCAATTTACAGATAATGATACAAATAATGAGTACAATCAAAATGATGAGATGCAATACCTTAATGCCGTCCCAGATGTTTCAAGGGGGATTGACTACGATAGTACTCAACAATTGCCTTCGAGCTCTATGAATGAGGTTTCGTATAGTGGTGTTCAACTTTTATGGGGAACCAATGACCATCAAAATGATGAGATGAGCCACCTTATTGGCGTCCCAGATGTTTCAAGGGGGATTGACTACGATAGCACTCAACAACTGCCTTCAAGCTTTATGAATGAGGCTTCGTATAGTGGTGTTCAACGTTCATGGGGAACCAATGACCATCAAAATGATGAGATGCACCACCTTATCGCTGGCCCAGATGTTTCAAGGATGATTGACTACAACAGTTTTCAACAACTGCCTTCGAGCTCTATGAATGAAGCTTCGTCTAGCGGTGTTCAACGTTCATGGGGAACCAATGACTTTTTTTCCAATGGCTCGTTAGGAGATATCAAGAGGAGATATTTTTAGAAGTCCCATAACGAAACGAAGATAATCCTCACTCTTTTTAGCTCAAGCTGTTAGATATTAGTTGTCATGGACAGCTTGAGTCAGTTATTCCATTGTACTCTGTACATCATAATTTTCCTCCAGAGGATTAAAATTTAGAACAGTTAGAACTTAGAAGTGCGAAATTGAAGTGCATCTAGTGTGCAGTCGTGCAGTTGCAAAATTGTCGCAAAACAGAGAATTCTTACATCTAATTAGCAATATATGTCCTAATTTTACTGAAATCATACACTATATGAATGCGAAAAATCTTACATCTAGTCATCACCATAGGCTCGAAAGCTATAACGCTCCTGGTAAAAGTCATTGAACCACAAGTCAGCCTCGAACCACTTGGGATAGCGCACAAGGTCACCAGCCTTAAAACTCATATATTTTTTGCTCCCTTCTGGAACAACTCTAACCTCTCCCTCTTCGATATAGACAAGCTGGTCCACATGCCAGTCCCAGGGCAATTTGCATTTTCCGGTCTTCCATACTGACCATCTTGATACACCAAGCTCATCTAATCTCTTGGGAGATACTTTTCTTTCTACCCTTATCTGATAAAGTTCTTCCAAAGACTTCTCTCCTCTCATTGCCATTACACAACAAACTCTGCCAAAATTATGATCACGCCTTTTAACTTCTGTGCTGGTTCGGATAGTTGAGCCGTGAAATGTTGGTGAAGACAGAACACTGGCCATCACTGAATACAGCTCCTAGCTTGTTCTGCCAATTTTCCTGCAGCAATTTGAAAGACCAATCTTAGAAATTAAGAGACCAACAGCATTACTGTAAATACTACGAGCTAGCACCTAAACGGCTAACAGTCGAGATAGAGAAGCTGAAGAAACAGTGGCCTATTTGTTTAGAGGGTACAATAGATGACAAGAAAATCAATAATCTTCCTAACTGTTAACTGTTGTATTTAGTTTGAAAATTCTTGGTCTCGTTTCTCTAATATTTTCTGTACGGAATTACCCCAAACGACTTCACTGATTCCACACACCCCACAGGATTTTCGATTCCCCCAGATTTCTCTACATCCTCACTTCTTCCATTACCACCAATCCACCAGCTAAATCTTGTAAAGACCAAACAAGTATAAGAGCTCCAACACATTATGAACCAATTAAAACAGATTGTCTGTAGAACCAGAGCTGAAAAATCGGCTACAAGATAATGTCGAAAGCACAAAACATAAGTATTAACCAGTGTGGATTACAATCAACATTCCAAACCGAATGTGAAAAATACACAATATAATCCACAGATTATTGGCAAACAATAGCAGCATACAGCTCGACGAAATGGTATGCATCAATTACATCCAAAACCAAGCCTTTTCATTACTAGAGAGTTCAGCTGGAAATTCTGATATACTACTTTGAACACTGAAACAGATACAGTATAAGGGTACTTAACTAACTTTTTTCATATTACAATTCCTCCCCCTTAAATTATCGGGAATACTACTTCACTCACTTTTTTCATATCATCGGGACTACTTAACTATCATCTACAAGTATTACTTCACTATCATCACACCCCACAGGATTTTTGATTCCCCCAGATTTCTCTACACCCTCACCTCTTCCATTACCACCAATCCACCAGCTAAAAGACTAAACAAGTATAAGAGCCCCAACACATTATAAGGGTACAAGATTATGTTAAACACGCAAAACATAAGTATTTGACTACTTAAGATTTATTAGCATTTACATGTGGACAAAAGCAGTGTGAGAAATGATCAACATTCCATGCCGAACATGGAAAATTCACTATTCAACCCATACATTGTTATTGGCAAACAACAACAAGCATCTCAACGAAATGGTCTACACCAATTACATTCAGAACCAAGCATTTTCATCACTAGAGAACTGAGCTCAACTACACTGCTCCAAACACTGAGTATTAATCCCTCCCCTTTATATTATCGGATTACTACTTAACTAACTATTTTCATTATCCATCACACCCAAGGAATTGGATTCACCCGAAGCATTGGATCAACAATGACTGTTTATAATATTAATCAATGCATAATACTGGGAATTTCCCTAATCTTAAATCAACTATCTAGCAGAATTCCTTCCAAGAAATTGATGCATTAAATTACAATTTTACCCTCTTTCTCTTTCGCCTTGTCTGTAAAACTGTATACCTCGCAAGTCGCAACCACCACTAACACTATTAACAAAGCTAAATTACCACCATATTTCTCAAGAACACCCAGAATTCTACTAGATTAAACAAATAACATACTAGAGTGAACATACTAGATTAAAATTTCAGAGTGAAAATGAACTAAAATAACATGGAGTTGAAATTGAAATAAGCATGAAAATTACAAATAAAAAAAGTAAGTAAAATAAAAGAGTGTAGAATAGAAACATACCAGAGCCTTAAATGGCCAGTGAGAGCTGAAAGAGTGAAAGGGGGTTATCAGTTTACTGGAGATTGGTGTAATTGATTTAGCAAAGTTGTTCAATTTGCCTTTCTTTTTTTGTTACATCTTGTTTATTTGGGTGGGCTGGATTACCCCTATAAATGCTACTGTATTATGGCCCATTTTGAGGCCAGGTTTGGAGATTTTCTTTTCTTTTTTTTTTTTTTTTTTATAAACACTTTCACAAAAAAAAAAAAAAAAAAAAAAAAAAATACATTTGCAATTTAGAAGAACCCTAAAAATAAAATTCTCATCCATAGATGAGAATCAAAATCCCAAAAAAATTTCTCTCAAAAAAAAAACCCCAAAAAATTGGGAAAAACCCACAAAATTCGGACAAACTCTCACAGATGGAGAGGACAAAACAAAACATAAAAAACCAAAACGTAAAACAAAACAAAAAACTTAAATTGAATTAAAGATAAAGTGTAGAAAAGGACATTAGACTATTTTCGGCCTAAACGGCCCAGAATACGAAAACCCTAAAAGAAAGAGGAGTGAGAAAAGAGAAAAGGAAAAAAGGAGCAGCTCTAAATTTGTATTTAAATTAATGTTTTGCATATAAATTCAGTACTTCCTTTGATTTTATTTATTTTTTAATTAAAAATCCAAGGTTCACAATTTATCCTTGTCAATGCACATTTTATAACTCTAATATACTTTTGAATTTACAAATCATTAAAGAATATCAAACATGTGTATAAAAATTTTCAAACGATGTGATTAAAAAAATGAAGGAAATACTTTTTTTTACTTGTTTATGTATAGAGTTCTTAAATAATTCATACGGAGTATACGCTTAAAATTGTGCATCAAGGATTCGTCAAAAAAAAATTAAATAAATAAATTGTGCATCAAGGAATCGTACCAAGTCCATATCAAGACAAATCTAAAACTTTTTTAAAATTTTATTCCATCAAATTCACGTGGTCAATTTTATATCCGGTCCAAATTACTCGTAACTTTGAAATATTTTATATCTCACAAATAATACTCCAAAGTTGCAAGTAATTTGGACCGGAGGTAGTACATTAAAAGTGCATAACTTCAAACAATGCAAATTCTTAGCAATTTGTCTAACAAAATGTAAAGAACACTTCTATAATTTTAAACCATGCTTCTCAATAATGCTTTACCTCTCTCGAGTATTCTTCAGACCAGAGGAATTCCAATAAATTTGACATGTGTTTTTTGTTACAGAGATTCGGAAACATTGGATCATTTGTTTCGAGACTGTTCCTTTGTTCGTTCTATTTGGAATTCGACTACAATTGGTTCCTCTTGTCCTCGTCGACATGATATTTCTTTCCCTGAGGAGTTTGTTGATTTAGCTTTGGGTTTTCGCAGTGCAAAGAATTGGGAAGGACTAGTTCATTTGGTGACTTTCTGGTGGGCTATCTGGTTGGCTTGTAATCATAAAATCTTTCGTCAGGCTGTTTTGTCTCCAGCTCTTGTTTTGCTTTTCATGCAAGATTGGTTTGATAGGAGTTTTACAGCTCAGGAGTTTAGATCTTTGATGCATTCAACGCTTAATAATCGTTTATTGAGATCAAGGAGAAAGGTTGTTTCTTGTTGTCTCACTGGTTCTTCCACATTGTCCTTCAACATTTGTCTGGTGTTTGATGGGGCATGTAGGGTTCAGGATTGCACAGCTGGGGCAGGTTGGATTTTCCGTGATACAGAATCACCCCAGATATTGGGCGGAAGTTCGAGAGCTTTTCTTTCAAGTTCACCTCTTCATTCTGAATTGAAGGCTTGTCTGTGGGTCTTCGAGCGGCTAGTCGTCGTGGGTATAGGAAGTTGTTAATCTATACGGATTGTATGCCTTTGTTTTCCCTCTTGAAGAACGGTGGTGACGGAGATATTCAGAGTTTATGGCTGCTTCAGGATATCCGTTCTGTTATTCAGAATTTTGATTCATGTGAACTTCGAAAGGTTCCTCGTCAATGGATTGCTCCAGCACACTGGTTGGCGACTCAAGCTCGCCAGCGTCGGTTTTTGTTTTGGTCCTTTTAGCTTGTTTTTGTGTTTTCTTAGTTCTTCTTGTCAAAAAAAAAAAAAAAAAAAAAAAAAAAAAAAAAAAAAAAAAAAAAAAAAAAAAACCATGCTCCGTAGCTTGCTTATCTTTTACTAAAGCAAAAGGTAATAATTGGTCTAATCAAAGTTGACTAGATTGAACACGGTTAGGAAGCTAGCAGAAGTTGCGGAAATTTGAAGTAGATGACTTTTGCATAACATATTCTACGCTGTTCCTTAATAATCAAGTAGTCTCAACAACCATTCAAGACTTGACTGAAATAAATACCGAGTAATGAGTATACGTCTATTGACGTTTTCGAATTTTGAATTTGCTCACATTATCTATTCTTCTCACACAAATAGTCGAGTAATCCGTAAAAGCACAAAAAAGACTCGCAATGGATTTTCGAGACATCAAACTCTTTTTTTAAATCCAAACAAACTCAGGAATGAATAAAAAAAATAGGGATATATATGCTGATGAACAAAAGCCTGCCAATAGTCCAGAAACAAGAAAACCAAACAGTCGAAGAATTTTTCTAACACAATCAACGCAATGAATTTGATAGTAATATTTCTCTCTATTAAGTTGCTTCCGGAGCTGATACTGGTGCAGGTGCAGGTGGCTTTAGTAACGGCTGGAGTGCTTTGACAACGATGCTCATGTTTGGCCTAAATTCACCTTCATACTGAACACATAGGGCTGCGACAGCAGCCAGCTGCAAATGTAGGAAATTCCTCCAATCATGTCAGCAATTAGCAGGTTGAAGAACTGAAAAGAAGGAAATAAGAAGAAAGGTAAGAAACAAACCTTAGCAACTCCTTTTGCAGGGTAATCCTTCAATCTGGGGTCAACACACTGCTTAACTTTATCTTCACTAAGCCTTGGAGTTGCCTGAGCAAAAACAAACATATACTTTAGACAACAAGACAGTAAAGCATGCCGAGGAAAAAACAAACATCATTTCTCAAATGCTGTTGCACAGGTTCAGTAAAAAGGAATAAAGAGATTACCCAAGTAACAAGACTTTGCTGACCACGAGGCATGGTATGATCAACGGGTTTGCGGCCAGTTAAAAGCTCCAAAAGAACCACACCAAAACTGTACACATCACTCTTTTGCGTCAACTGTCCAGTCATTGCATACCTGAGCAATTATCAACAACGCAAAGTAAACGGTCAATATCACAAGAAAAATGAAGAAGAATATACATTAGTCAACTTCACAATTTACTACAGTTTCACCACCTATATAGCCCTAAAGGGTGCTTTCACAATTGAAATTCAGGATATAAGTTGTGATCCAGCTATCATAAAGTACTCAGAGAACTAATGTGTTCATACTACACTTTTCCTGCCCCCTCCCCCAATGGTTAGACAACTGACTAAGATTTTAAGGGGACAAAAAATTACTCTGGTGCATGATATCCGAAGGTGCCCAAAACCCTGGTGGAATGAAGACGGGCAGCCATATCAGGAGCCTGATTTGAAAGATTAAAATCTGCAATCTTGGCTTTGAAATCTTCAAACAAGAGGACATTACTAGATCTAATATCCCTGTGAATAATAGCAGGTTGAATCTTCTCATGAAGATATTCCAATCCCCTTGCGGCATCAACAGCAATTTTTACTCGCTGCATCCAGTCGAGCACTGGACCAGGTTGCGCACCTTGAACACCTTTCCTGCCTGCAATAAGATGATTCCTATATTACTTTCAAAATCCATTTCACACTATCTTTCAAATTATTTAACAGTCCAATAAGGAATTTCAAAACTGTAAATCCAGGTAACTATCCATACCATGCAAAATATCATGCAAGGATCCCATGGTAGCAAACTCGTAAGTTAACACCCGCATGTTTCCCTCTACACAGTAGCCTTGCAACTCAACAATATTTTCATGCTTCAACCTTGATACTCTAGAAACCTACAAGAAACAAAAAACATAACCTGCAGATTAGACTGAAAGCCTAATAGGTATTATAAGTAAAACTCCATACTAGTAGTTTCCAGCAGTAAATCACACCTGTGTCAAAAACTCAACATTGGACTCTGGTTCTTGGGAAACATCAAGCTTTTTCACAGCCACTTCCTTCCCATTCTCCAAAGTAGCATAATACACTCTTCCATAGGAACCTTCGCCAATTAATGCTTTGGAACCAAAGTTATCAGTTTTTTCCTTTAGCTCATCCAAAGACAAGATAGGCACTTCAATTGGTGGTGGTGCTGACTTCTGCACATCTTCCTTTACAGGTGCTGTTGGCTTTTGGTTCCTTACAGCTCCTATATTTCACAATAAATGCAGCAAAGTAAGTTTGGGTTCATCAATTCTTTACAAGAATTTTTTAAAAAATTATTGGTTGCAAGTAATATTCCAACTCAGATCCATCAAAGTATCAAACACTAAAAAATTCATGATAGCACATTTTATAAGATAAGGTATACTATCTTTAGCCAAGCAACATAATTTACAAACACATTTTCCATATCATTGACCATGAACAGATCTGAGGCTTATTCAACCAAGGAGTGTTCTATAAAGTCATTGGCCAGAAATTATTACTTCAAATTGATGGCATCGAAAGTCCATGTAAAGCATGCACCGAGACTACAAGCAAATAACACTAATGCCAAGTCTTTTAAAAAATACAAAGAAAGAAGTAAGAAAAGTCTTCTTGAAATCATTAAAATGAATGCAGCTAATGAAATTTGGCCCATTCATATTTTTTAATCACTAATTCAACTTGGCTATATTGGACATATTAGAATCAGCAAAAAAATGTTTGAATAAGTCAGGAACACCTCCAAGGTTCCAACAATATATAAATATCAGTTGTACATCTGACAGCAAGAGTCCGCCAATAACCAAACAAGGCCACCTCATAAGATGTTAGCTCTGACAATGTTCAGCAACTAGACTTTTAATTCCCTTGTATCAGATATTGTCCTGAGGTTCAGCCATCTTGCTTTCATGTTTAAATGATTAGTTAAGTAGCTGAGGGGACCACTGATGAGTTGGCAAATAAGTCTTCTGCTTGACCCACCGTGTATAACTGTACATTTAATACCATTGAATGTTTCTATCCAAGCCCTTAAATTACAAGTTAACATCAAGGCAACTAGTTACAACCCTCTCACTTTGATAGTACTGTTTCACACTCACAGTTCAATATTCAAATGCAACTGCATGCCATCAGAAATTATATTCACTATTACACTGCATATGATTATGCATACTGATCCGGAGAGACCATTATTAACGAAAATTACTAAAGTTCAATGTATAAGAAGAGCCGCAGAAAATAAATTGTTATTCTTCCCTCTAACTAATCAAGATTTTCAAAAGGTAGTACATGGCATCAATTTAAAGTTGATTACAAATGCATGCATGAAAAATATATCCTCAAACATGAATACAGGTTTTGAAGTAAGCCATATCTAGTTTACCCAACAAAAATGCATCATCAAATTCACAATATCCAGCACTAATCATATAAATGAGATGGAATCAATACTCTATTTCTCTAACATGATCAGCAAAGCTTAAAAATTCTCAAAAGTGCATCCAAGGCCAAATCCCTTCAATTATCTAGCTTCAATTATGGCGACATTTGCTACAAGGATTGCTTTTCGCAGAAATAAAAAGTGATAGCAGCATTTAGTACAGGAAGATAGCATCTTTGCCTCAGACTAAGAAATTGAGGACTGACAGCAGTAACTCAAAGTTCATGTAATACTAATCCTACATTCTACTATTTAAATACATTAAATAGCTTAACCAAAAACACCTAAGAAGCTCGAACATCACAATCAAACTCCGTAATTTCTACATTCACACATAGCGTTACATTATCAAGCAACAACAATATAATAAGCTAATCACAAGTATTTTACATGCTGAAAATCCTCATGTTTTTATACAATAGCTCATTTATTTCAATTTACACATGATCAATCCCTCCTCAACACCCCTGCTGCCCTGCTCCCCCGAAAAACCGCATAAATCATTATAACATTCAAAATAACATCACGCAAAACAGATGAAATACGACATACTTTCCGCATTGTTCCTCGGGCTTTTAAGGGGTTCATCATTTGATGGGTAAGACTCTTCGACACGGCAAGTACAACAAAGCCACCGCCGCATTCTCGATGTTGGCCTTCTCAAACTTAAATCGTCTCGAGAATGTCCTTGCAATCGTACAAAGTGGCCAGGGGGCGGTGCATGTGCCTATCAACCATTACAAAGATTTCATCATTTCATGTGAATCAAATCACATGGAACCACCAAATTGTGTCAATTAAAAACAAACTTTTACTATAAAATAAGATACACTTAAATTATTCAGAACAATATTGTATATAAATTCACACAAAAACATGCAAAATTCCAAAAACACATTCATTAATTCAGTCAAATTGATTCCATATATAGAAATTGCAATCAATTGAAAATTAAGCAATTGAATTATAAACAAATGGATAAACAACATGCAAATGAATCAATAACAAATAATCATTATATCAATTAGTTGATCAAAGATTAATGGCAATTATTAATTGAACTTATAAAAAATGCAGCCCCTGATAAAATTAAAAGAAGCAAAAAAATTGAAAAATTAAATAATTAAATTTAAAGGGGATCAACTGATCCTCACCACTAAACCACGTCGGTGAAAGTTGCCGTCCATGAATAAATTTCCAAAGTTCAAATTGAATCAGGGGAAAAATTCCAAATTTTCAAAAAAAAAAAATAAATAAATAAGAAAATTGAAAATACTTTGTAAGAAATTTCACCTTTTAATTAGGTCGAAAGCAAACAATAGAACCCGCAAAATTAATCATAGGAAATGGGAAAATTCCGAAACAGAAAAAACCCAATTAAAGATTTTGCTTCAAAAACCTAAGAAAAGGAGAAATTTCAAATTCAATTACAATTCAACAACAAAAAAGAGTCAAATTAAAGAAGAACCCCTTTATACCCAGAAACCAAAAAGCACAAAATAATAAAGGGGTTGTTAAAAAACCAACAACAACAACCAAAACATAAAAATACAAATTAGATCGAAAATTTGCGAAATAAAAGGGAAAGTGACATCGAAAATGAGTTGTTTGATCGAACTTTTAGGGAGAAAAGGGCATTACCTTACCTGGGTTTGGCCAAGGAGAGAGAAAATGGTAAACAATTTGAATTTTAATTTGGAAAATTAATTTTGATTTTTCTGGTTCGCTGTATTTTTGGGTGAGGTGGGAGAAAGAGGAAGAAGAAACAAGAAATGAAGACAGATGTACAAATACAAATTAGAGGATTATATTTGAAGCAAAATATAAATTATTACGAAGAAAAATATATGATTTTTATGAAATTAAATAAAATAAAAATTGGGCGGACCAAAAAGGAAGAAATAAGAAATAGGCCGGTGGGTTGGAACCGTGTGGGAGTAGTTTGAGGAATCTTTTTTAGTGTGTTTGATTGATTAATTGAATTGTATTGTATTGTATTTTGTTTCTTTATACTTTGTACTAGCCGTTATATTGAAGGAATGTAAGAAGATGAAAATATCTATGATAGTTAAGAAGGGTATGGAAGGAAAGATTACCCTCATGGTGGAGTATGGTTTAATCTTTGAGATCTATACTTTTTATTGATTTGCGTCTTGATATGGTTTTGAGGTTTCGTGATTTTTTACTGGCTTATTTTGGAGAATCGGATTCGAAATTGCTTGTGAATTGAGGGAGGAAATTAATGAAGTTGACACTCTGTGCTGGGTATTCTACTTGGAGTTTGTGGTTCTTGAAGGTGATTAGGGTATACTAGTTGAGACTTTGGGAAGGGAGATTAGTGTGGAGAAGAGGTAATGATTTACTAGGCAAGTTTCGATTTGGTGAGATTTGTGGGTTTTTGATGTGTAGATTCAGAATCTTATCTCCTAAAGAGATCACAAAGAATACTTGGGAGTTGTGACGTTAATTGATTTTAAGTTAGCTTAACCGAAATCTTTAATTATCTATGTCAAAAGGGTTACTTGATTTGGTTATGAGGTTTCATGATTTTTGACTTGCTGATTTTGGAGAACCGGATTCGAAATTGATTGTGAATCGAGGGAGAGGATTAATGAAGTTCGCACTCTGTGCTGGGTATTTTACTTAGAGTTTGTGGTTTTCTTGAAGGTGATTAGGGTATACTTGCTGAGACTTTGGGAAGGGCGATGAGTGTGGAGAAGAGGTAATGGTTTACTAGGCAAGTTTCGATTTGGTGAGATTTGTGGGTTTTTTATGTGTAGATTCAGAATCATATCTCTTAAAGAGATCACAAAGAATACTCGGGAGTTGTGACGTTAATTGATTTTAAGTTAGCTTAACCGAATCTTTAATTATCTATGTCAAAAGGGTTACTTAATTTGGCTTTGTGGTTTCATAATTTTTTTTTTTTTTTGGTTGGTATGGGAGGAATGAGTTTGAAGATTGGTTGTATATTAGGAGAGAGGGAAGCGTTAATGGAGCTAGTTTTTAGTGTTTGGTGTTTTACTCAGCGTTTTTCTTTTTGGAAGTGTTATAGGTCTATGGGGTGGACATTTTTGGTGCGACATTTTGGGAAGATGAGCGTTGTTCCAAAATATTGGTTTATATAATATATATATATAGGTGTTTAGAGAGCCACAAGGGCAGGGGTGATGAGAATCGATCCCAAGCCGGGAGGGAAGCTTTAATCACTTGAGCTACCCCCCACTCTCTTGTTTAATATTTAAAAACTATACTTTGAGAGTCTTAAGACGATTCTAACAAATACCCACAAAACTATGTTTAATCTTATGTATACAACACAAATATTAGCCAAAGTGGTGCATATGAAAATTGGTCAAGACCACATGTGACAAATAAAACGTGAGAGTATGATGCAAGCTAGACTATATTGACAACTCTCATGATAAATGTGATACGAAATACTTTCTCTATTTTTTTAGTTGACACATTTCTATTATGATGTTTGCCAACGCATGTTTTTAACGCTTAATAACTTCAATTATCAACATTGAAAAATTATAAAAAGTGGATATTAATAATATATACATATAGACGATTCAAACAAGATCCTTGATGAATCACATTTATATAGAGTTTATAGTCACATTTATGATATAGAGTTTATAGTCACATTTATGCTAGTTATATAGTTGCTTTTTGAGTCTTTTATTTCTTTTTAGGTCGCAATGCATATGTTGTCCTTTTTGTGCTCTATTACGGTTTGTTTGTGTTTTTGTTAATGTTTCAAGTAGTTTCTATAACTATGTGGACGCTTTCAGAGTGGTTTTGGAAGAATCGGACAATGAAAGGATGAAAAGTCAATGAATCGAGGTTGTTCAATGAAGAATATATGTTTGTGGAATCTTATTTTGAGATTTATATGCATGTGGAATGAATATAGCATCCACAAGGGTCGCTATGTATCTTTCGGAAATGAATTTGAGCTAGAAATGAAGGAAAACAATGGTCTACAGAGTGTTAAAACAGACCTTTGGTCACTCATTTGATCATAACTTGAGTTCTAAAGATTGAAATGAAGTGATTCAAATTGCATTAGAAACTAGACTTGAAGATCTTTCCTTTGATAGTTGCAATCCCCTATACGCTTCCTAGATCTGGAGATACAAGCCTTTGAATTCGACCCAGCGAAGCTGCCAATCCATCACCCAGCCATCGGGCGATGGACGTGCTGTGCGATCGGCCGTGAGCTGCTGGTTGGGGCGATGGAAAACCAGCGCCCGCTGGTAGAACTCCCCCTTGTGCAGCTTGTCCGACCATCGGCCACCCATCGCCTGATGGGTGGGGTGTGCGCGCAAGCTACTAGGAATTAATCCTACATCGATTATATTATAACTTTTTCAATCGATCAATCATATCACGACTTATGTAATTGCTATTTTTCTGATTTTATTTTATTTATTTATCTTTAGATTAATTTTAAGATAATATAAATACTCAAGAGATATTATTTTTCCCAAAGGCCTTTTTATACTTTTTATTTTACGTTCGTTTTAGTTTTCTCTCTAGCCCTAGTTTTTCATGGACAACTCCATAGATTCCTCCATGGATTTTTCCTTTAATTTGTTACTTTAATTTATAGAGGTAATTTTATTTCTTTACTTTTAATTATGCTTTCTTTATTATTTCTAGTTTTTATTATTTATTTCATGCTAGAGTAGTTTATTTCTAGGGTTTGGGAATCCATATTTATATTATGAATCTTGATTAATGTTTTTGATATTTTAATTATTGATTTCTCTAATTGGTATTGTTTTATTGTTAATCTTGCAACTTGATCAATTGTTTGATTAATTATTGTTAACAAGAGTTTGAATCGAAAGATCTTACTTTTAAAGGCTTACCTACAATTAGCAATCCTGATTATTTTAGCGACCGAACTACATATGTTTAATTGAGAGCGTTAAGACCCGACCGTAGGCTTAACAATTTCTCTAGATAATTGATTGATTGATTTATTATTGATATTTAATAGATTTAGAACTATGAACATGGTGAACCATAACCCTAGATCTTTTTATAATTGTTTTATTCTTATTTTTAATTTAGACTACTTTTCTATCCCAAATTCGTGACATAGTTTAGTTTCACCAAATTCTTAAAGGTTAGATTAAATAGTCATCTTTCTGTGGATTCGACCCTACTTACCCTACTACATTGTGAGTTGGTTTTGTTAGGAATTTATCTTTGACAGGTGTACGACAACCTATCAATCCCAGATGATTATATTTCATCGTATCTATGAATCACAAAAGCGGGTCAAAGTTTAATGTTTGAATAGCATAAAAGTCAAACAGTGTCAACTTAAAAAAAATGGAGGAAGTATATGTGTAACACAAACATGAATTAGCCTACCTAAAATGTTCAATTCTCCAATATCTTTTAATAACAAAGTATTCCTTTTTTGCCTCAAAGAAGAAAAAAAAACCAAAGTATTCCCTTTTTTAAAGTTGTAAATTAATTACAACATTACTATAATTGCTCTCATCATATGAGTCATTCTTTTTTATTCCAAGGATTTTCCGGGATCTAAAACTCAAATCTCTTTTGGGGGCCAAATACCAATTTGTAGTTCCTGATTAGAGGTGTCAAAACCGAACTGACGTGAAAAAATTATCCGTTTCGAACTGTTACCGATCTGATTTGATCCGAGAAAATCAAGACCCAAACCCGATATGTAACCGAGCCGAACTTGACCCGAATCCGAACTTGACTCGATCTAAAATTAACCCGGCACCGGTTTGATCCGAACTGAACACAACCCCAATCCGATTTGACCCGACCTGAACTTAAATCGAACCGATTTTACCCGACCCGAGCTCAACCCGATCTGAAATTGACCCGAAAAATAACCGATCTAATCTTTTGACCCGAACTGATATCAACCCAACCCGATTTTAACTCGATTTGATTTTTACCCGATCCGAATTTAATTAGACCACAATTAATTATCGACTTTTTTTATTCCAGTTCTTATACTACTATATTTACTAATTATTAATAAGTTCACTTACTTTACTACAAATAAATAATCCAGAATAACAAGTTTACTTCATGTACATACCAATTATTTAAAGTTACTCTGTAAGCTTTATATTCGTCTCATCTAAAAGATGACATTGAAGATTGTACAATTGAAGATTTACAATAACCTTAAAAAGATGACATTCTTACTTGTATACTATATACCACCATATGTAACTATCATTTGTCAATATATCACTAGCTCATCATTTATTGTTTCAAGCCATCGATAATATTCAATTTCAATTTGCCTCAAAGATAAAAATTACACTTAACTTGATCTAATGAGAAAACTAAAATTTCGTACTTAATAATCAAACGATAAAAATATATGATACGATTGGAATTAACCCAATAATAAGGTAAAAACTTAATAATAACTCTAGCTTAAAAATAACCTTATTTGGACATGAATTTGGTCAACTCGACCAAAATCCAGCAAAACACAAAAAGGAATTGAATTGAAATTGAACAATAATGAATTAATGGTACGGATCAACCTTATCTTAATCAAACCGACGTTGACCAAATCGAAATCATCCGAATCGAAATAAACTCGACCCAAATCCATCCGACCCGAAATAACCCGATTAAACCTGTTTTGAACCCAATCCAAATGTGAACCGATCTGAAGTTGACCTGACCCATATCCAACCCGGAATCGATTGACCATGACCCGAATTTGATCTGACCCGAATTTGACCAAACCCGACCCGATCCGAATTAAAAGAATAATTTTGACCCGAATATATCCGATCCAAACAGACCCGACTCAAATAGATCCGACCTAAATTTTATCCGGTTATTCGAAGTAACACCTCTATTCCTGATGCTATCAACTCATACCATTTTCCCAAGGAAATGGGATTAGGGCATACCTTCTTGTAGCTAATGCATATCTCTCATCCCTTAAAATATCAGCATAGTT